TTGTGACCTCTCCCGAAGACTGTTCCAAATTGCATATACATGATCGCTACCCAGATAGCCAAGCAAGATTTAGCATATGGGACAAATTGATGCACTGCGTGTATTGTTTTCAACTTGTGGACAATTTGCTGTCATTGAAATCTAATTGAAACTGAGTTAGCATCAGGAGGGCAAATAGACTTCATGAGTTTATGAAATTGTAAGAGTATATATTGAGAAATAATAAACTCGTCACGTCGACAGCAAACTGACAGCACACCTTGAACGTAGTGAGCATTCATGATGACAACTTGCCAACAGATTGCTGAATTCTAAGGAAAACTTTACATAACGTCAGGACAACAGACAGTTTGTGGAAACACCTTGGCTTTAGTTTGGTGAAATTCAATGCGAAATAAGTGACAGCAAATTGGCAACATATTGTCCTCATTTGGCTATCTGGGTAATGACCCATACATTTTCGAGTGGATTGTCTTCGGGAGAGCCCACAAATTTTTCACAATCTGGTGAACTCTATAAACAGTTGTTTGCAATGTGTGATTGAAAAGAATGGCTATTGGATTGAATATTAAATGTAAATATTGTAATCTTTAATTGTAAATATTGTAATGTAGAAACTAGTAATTGAAATTGTTTATTATTGTTAATATTATATACATATTGTTTGGATTCTATCATATGTAAAGGATACCCATTTATAATATTGTCCTCTTCAGCCAAAATCTTAAAAGACTTAAATTATTCTTGTTGAAAATTTCTTCTTGTTCGTTTCCATTTGTAAAAGAAGAAAAATGCACAAAGATATTTTTCCTTAATCTTATATAAAAATTTAAATAAATATAAAAAGACAAAATGCAAATGATAAATATTGTAATAAACTGATCTGATAAAATTATAAGCCGTAAATAATTAAAAATTTGTTTACATTAAAAATGCACAAAGATTTTTTTCCATAATTTTTTATAGAGTTTTAAATAAATACAAAAAAGAAGAATAGTAACTTATCTGATAAATTATGTGTCGTAAATAATTGAAAATTTGGTTATGTAAATATATTTTTAAACGAAATTTACGACTGTCAACAGTGTCAATAAAACTTTAATCACACACATTCGAGGTGTCACGAACACGGGCTATAAGGTTGAAGAAATTCGCGCAATTTCGCCGGCTGATTACGATTTATCTACTATAGCCATGAATATGAAAACGACCGAGAAAGTAAACGCGATGCTTCAACAGTGAATGTGACGTCATAGGGTTGGAAGGCATTAATTGCGCGAACTGTACAATCATGGAAGTGTCTTCGCGTAGTTTTTACTTTAAAAATAACGTATCATTTCAATAATCTAACCCAATCAATTTAGTGGTGCGAGGTAGCTCTTACTTCGCGTAGAAAGTCGAAACCCAGGTACTTTTTTTGTTCATAACTTTTTAACGAAGGACAAGGGACGGCTAAAATCTGTTGGAAGTTACTCAAGGTCAAGACCTCGATAACATATGTCAAGGTCAAGTTCATCGGAGCTGGGTCCCCTAAAGTGAACATTTGCCTTGTATTGTACAAAATTAGACATTTAAGTCTAAATATCTCAGAAACTATAAGAGACCGCCGCCTAGTTGTTAAGGCAAAGTTACTCAGAATCATGACCTTGACAACATATGTCAAGGTCAAGGCCATCGGTGATGTGTCCCCTAATCTGTATAATTACCGAAAATAAAATATCAAAATACCAATATTTTCAAATATTTCTTCGATGAATTTTCTCTAACACATGAAAACTAAAAAGAACTACTGGTCAAATATAAAATATATAAAAACGATATCTACTGTATATACATACATATATGTATATACAGGGAAAGGCACCTGTAAAAACAGGTCACCTGAATAACTCGCTTGTTTTTGACAATAGATGAAAAAGTGTCAAACAAAAGTTGCTTGGTTTCGAGGGGCACATAATGTGATGTCAATAATTGTTTTTTTGGTTGCGCAAAGGATAGGCAAAGGTAAAATTTTTTTTTTTAACGGAATGATATATTCTTTTATTTACATTCTGATAGAACATCTCAAAACGAATACAATGATCTATAATTGAAGGTCAATCAAGGTTTCGCAAGGTCAATAATGGAATGTAATGGAAAATAAATTGTTTTAAGGCACTCTTCGAATAATTTCGTGTCTAATTTACTTATTTACGTACTTACCGCTACGACAAGTGTTCAAAATGATGACCCTGAACATCGACGCATTTTCTGAAACGTGTCGACACAGATAACATTGCACAACGAATTTCATTCGGATCAATCGCAACGCAAGCTCTTCTTATACGCTCCTTCATGTCTTCTCTTGTTGTCGGCATTTCGCTGTACACTTGTTGTTTTAACTTTCCTCACAAATAAAAATCCATAGGTGTTAAATCTGGGGAACGTGCAGGCCATCTGTTATATTCTGACCGACCAATCCAACAATCTCAAAATTTTCTGTTTAGCAATTCAGTAATAATCCGTGCAGAATGAGCAGGACATCCATCTTGCTGGTACCACATTGATTGTCGTACGTTTAGTGGAAGATCTTCTAAATATAGTGGTAATATTTCTGTTAAAATCTGTGCATACTTGCAACTATTTAATTCCATCGATAAAGTGAAGACCAATTATTTTATCGTTAAGAATTGCGGCCCAGACGTTTATAGACCAAGGTATCTCTGCTTGTTCACTTCTCTCATCCAATGTGAGTTTTCTATCGACCAATAGTGCATGTTGCGAAGATTTACTTGTCCATTGTTTGTAAATGTAGCTTCGTCAGTAAATAAGATTTTAGTGGCAAGCATATTATCTTTTTGTAGTCTTTGTAGTGCCCATTCACAGAATTGTACACGATTTTGAAAATCATTGCCATGTAACTCTTGATGAAGTGAGATATGGAAGGGATGAAATTTGTTGGAATGTAGTATTCGCAGAACACTTCGTCGACTAATACCACTTTCACGTTCAAGCTGTTTTGTACTGATGTAGATTTAGGGCTACAGCGGCTAAAATGTTCGTCGAATTTCCGTCGTCAGTTGCTTTCTTGATTCGTTTGCGTTTTTTATTATCCACACTTCCTGTTTCTTGAAAAGTTTGTACTTGTATGTTTGAAAAAACAGAGAATAAGGGATGGACACGATCGGGAAATCTTTCAGTGTACAAACGTACTGCTTCTCTCATAATTTGGCGACATTCACCATAAACGAAAATCATGTCGACTTTTTCCGCTTTCGTATAACGCACTTTGCAAGACACGCACTTTGATCGATAGATGAATTCAAACTGATGAAGTAAATATGAATAATGCTACGTGTGATTTAATTTAAACGGTATGTAAAATATTTACATACGCTTGAACGATTAGCGGCATACCGGTAAACAAGAAGAGAAGACACGAAATTATTCGTCGATGTTCCGGGTCATCATTTTGAACACTTGTCGTAGCGGTAAGTACGTAAATAAGCAAATTAGACACGAAATTATTCGAAGAGTGTCTTAAAACAATTTATTTTCCATTACATTCCATTATTGATCTTGCGTAACCTTGAATGACCTTCAATTATAGGTCATTGTATTTGTCTTGAGATGCTCTATCAGAATGTAAATGAAAAAATATATCATTCCGTTCAAAAAAAAAAAATTTTACATTTGCCTATCCTTTGCTCCTCCACCAAAAAAGCAATTATTGACATCACATTATGTGCCCCTCGAAACCAAGCAACTTTTCTTGGTTTAAGGATTTTAGTAACTATTTGTAATGTAATAATTTGATTCTAATAGAATTTTTGTTGTCAACGGTCTTTTTCATAGATATATTTCTGATTTTTCATTACACAACTCCACATCCATTATCTACGATGAATTTACCTCTAGTTGGTGCACAGGAACATTTTGTCGTTTAACAAAAATTGATTCTACTACTTGCATTCTAACTCGGAGTAAATGGAGTAATGGTTTATTATTATTTCGTCGCTGAAGATGGTCTAAATTGCAGACCAAAACGTTCGACGGGACATCTTAATGTTATTTTGTAAGATTATTAAAATTTTTTCGCATTGTTAACTGCGTTTGACTCTTTATAGCCTTTAATTTATGTTTGTTTATTTGTTTTTAATTAAAAAGGGTCCATTACTAGTTTATATAATTTTATTAAGAATTTTTGAAAGACACGCCGGCTGAAATGTTGCGTTATAACACAGGTTCGTTTTTTAAATATATCTGTATGATTTATGGTATGTATTGTGTTAGATTGTTAAAGAGTTGGATTAAACAACGAGTTTTATATGACAAGATCCAACTTAAAATTGAATTCATAAAATTTTGTATTAGACATGACATTATACCAACACATTTAAACAGGTTCATTAAATTCAATATACATCTAAACGAATCCATATCTATTTCTAATTTTAATAAATCAAAAATTATATTTGTGCAAAAAATATTAAAGTTAAAACTTAAAGACGCATTTAGATCTAGGGCTGCGTTACAGAATGGAATATTTCATATGATGCGTAGGATTGATGGCAATCTTCCGTGTAATTTATGTAATAAATTCTTCCTTTCATATAACAATAAATTATTTAAAGAGTATAAGAAAAATAAATATAAAATGATTGGGAAAATGAATAAATTAAAAAATAAAAAAGATTGTAATTTCAGAAATAGAATTAATAGTATTAGATATTTTTGGAATAGTAATAATGGAGTTGGTGGTGTCCGTAGCGCACTGGCAAAGTATTTGCCTCCCATGCCAAAGATCCCGAGTTCAAATCCAGCTAGAAACAATAATAATGAGGATTTTAAGCCTTTTTCTTTTACTTTTAATAAATTAATTAATTATAGGGAGGTTCATATAAATCCAACAGAATTTAATCTCATCCATTCGTTTTCTTCTTTAAATAATTTACGAAATAAATGGTTTTATAATCTGTCGTCTATTGATATTCCATTGATATCGGACGGATACAACGGAAATGAACCTTAGCTACCAAAAAGGTATACGAATTGGCACATGGAACATCCGGACATTGGCACAGGCATCCCGTTTGGCACAACTAAGCAAAGAAATGACACGCTGTAAAATTAAAATCCTAGGTCTCAGCGAAGTGCGGTGGAAGAACAGCGGGGACATTACAACGTCAGACAATCACTACATGATATACTCGGGCAATTCAACCACCCACATTAATGGAGTTGGAATAATTATATCCACTAAAATTAAAAAATCATTAATGGAGTGGAATCCAGTCTCCGACCGATTAATAACCGCTCGTTTCCGAGCCAAAAATCGCAATATAACAATCATTCAATGCTATGCACCAACGGAAATAGCAGACGACAGCGAAAAAGATCATTTCTACAACCAACTGCAGTCCACAATCGCCTCAGCGCACAAAAGAGACATCAAACTTGTCATGGGTGACTTTAACGGGAAAATCGGCAATAATAATAACAACCTCGATGAAATAATGGGTCGCCATGGACTTGGAGAAGCACGCAATAACAACGGCGAGCGATTAATTGATCCCTGCATGGCCAACCGACTTTTCATCGGCAGCACGCGATTCCCGCACAAGGACATTCATAAATATACCTGACAAGCACCAGACGGAGTAACACGTAACCAGATCGACCACGTGCTAATTGACAAGAAACACCTGAAGTCTCTTCTAGATGTTCGAACAATGCGTAGTGAGGACATGTATAGCAACCATAAGCTAGTTGTGGCAAAAATACGCATAAGGACAATGAATATAATAACAACAAGAACAAAACAAAAGAAATTTAATATCGAAAAATTCAAGAATAAAGGTGAACGTCGGAACTTCTGTGAAACTGTAACAGCCAATGTTAATAATATCAGTCCTACAATAAGTGCGAAAGAAAAATGGGAATTGGTGCAAAAAGCATACGTAGAATCCGCAAATGAAGTCATCGGGATCAAAAACAGTACCCGTAAAATGTGGATCACGAATGAAACCTG